CTTTGAAATGACAGTAGCCAGAAGTAGCAAGAACACTAATTGCCCTCGGTAGAAGCGCAACTGAGTATCAAGAGACATAGATTCGACTTTCCGAAGTTTTTGAAAACTCGACGGGCTCACAGGCTGATTCGCGCACAGAATGAATATGTAAGGCGACAGCAGAAAACCATTAATTCCATTAAGTCGGTTGTTGGAAGGTCGGGCTGGCTTTGCTTTCCTTCGCTCTTTTTTTTCTCAAGGTTGAAACGCACCAATGAGGCTGAATCCCGTAGAGTTTGACTTTCATTGGATATTTCTCGTGCAAAATTGTCGCGCTAAAGTTTCGTGTCGACCATCGAGAGCTTTGAACTCGGTTATATTTCCCTGGAGTACGACAGAGGAAACCGGAACGTAAGGGCGAAAGATGAGGAGCTACATAGGAAAGAAAATCCTGTGAAAGGAGAGAAGCCTGGACTTTTGCCGCGCTGGGACTTCGTTCCAGACTCATAGACAGCGTTATATATGGACGTAAAAAATTACTAGCCACAATCTGCTATATATTTTCTAATGAGGTAATTATGCTAATCAAGGAAAATAAAGATGCTTTCTTCCCCTCAATGCTCGTGAAATAATGCATTCTCATTTCACAATCTGTTAGAAAACTATAAATAAAAAAGAAATAATAATGGGAAAATAAAAGAATAGAAATGAAAGAGTCGTACTTCCATTCTTATTCTTATTGAAAATAATACAATAATTCTATGAAATAGTATAGAATATTATGTATTATCAAGATCGTACTGAGAACTAGATAATTAGTTAATATCGTTAATATCAATTAAAATATTTTAAAAGATGCAAGATTGCACATATTTATTCTTTATTTTTTAAATTTTCTTCATTTTGAGTAGCAAAATGTTGGTACAATACGATATATATGTTTCCTTGATGTAGCCAAATTGACTTACATTTAACGAATTCAATATCCGCAGTGAAGTTACGTCAAACTTTAATTCGCTTCACAAGTTCACCTCGTAAATGAGTCTATTATCCCGAGAGGAAACTTCGAAAGAATTAAAAGTAATCTAAAATAGCACGACTAAAAGAAAACTGTAAGTCCTAAGTACCATACAAGAATATCGATTAATGCAACTTTAATCAGAGCGTTATGTAAAATATCAATCGCGCGATATCATTCTCTTTTTTTCTCTTTTTTTCGAAGTACCCTATCTTTAACCAAGAAATACGGCGGTCAACTTTGAAGCATTTCTTTCAGCATTCGCAATCGTGACACGCCGACGGTTATTGCACGATTCCTCGCGTACACGGGGACGTATATGGAAAGTTGTAAATAGATTCTCGCAACAAATCGCCGTAGCGCCAGCTTGGAGCAAGCGCCCGACTCGAACTCGAGTGTGAGGAAGTTTGTACGGGAGGGTTGGATCGATGGCTGGATGGCCTGGTACGAGCACCAAAGTAAAGTTTGTCTTGGCTGCCGGCCACGACCCTCCATCGAATCACCGACGGAGTGATAACGATAACTCTAGCAACTGCTCAAGCCAGTATCGATTGTCATTAGACACCGTACGAAATTCTCTCGCCTGCACGGCGGCGGGGCCCTACAGCCTTCTCAGCGATTCACTCGGCGCTTTTAATATCGAGCTATTACGATCGCTCGTAAGTGAAGAGACGGCCGACAAAATCCCTTATACTGTATGATATGTTACAGGAAACAGAAGAAGGGACACTTTTTAAATCGCTCCGGAACCATTTCATTCCTCTGCGTCGTGCGTGACAAGGTTTCGCGTCAGTTCGGCGCAGTTTTCACATCATACTCGCAAAGAAAATTTATCTAGTATAAAAAAATACAAATTAAATTTAACATATATTTTATTCTATCTTTATATTAGATTTTAAATTATATAATCTATATCCGCGTAAGGATATGTAAAGAATATTTATAATGTAGCAACATAGGTGTGACATGCTCATAATATTAATCACCACGCACACAGGTCGCCCAATACGCAGCGAAAATAATCATTTACAGCTAATTCACAGTTATGCTTTGTTTACGCATTTTTCTCGTAGACTATTCGAGTATCAATATGAAAGAACAAGGATAGTCGTTCTAAATGCAATATCCTTAGGGATTAATGCCTATCCGTAAGTACCTTAGTTATTGTTCTTGAGCACAGAATTTGATTTCATTCATTCATTAGATTCTAGCGTCCAGCCAGATGGCAGTATAACAAATAACACATTGCTAATTATTATTACAATATTACAAGATTCGTTACAATTATCGCTGAACAAATGATCATTTCTTACAATTAAAATATTCCGTAGATTCTTTTTGCGTATTTGAATGGTCAATATCTTTAAATAATTCTTTCATTCCATTGAATGCGACATTCCTTTAATTGCTCATACCATTCTCCGGAAATGTAATCTTTGTTCAACGACAATCGGGTTGTTATCTTCGCAGCTTTCCACGTACGGCAGTGTGATTGAAATTACAGTTCGGTAGAATTGCGAGGACATAGGAAAAGTGACAGATCGATCGATAAACTGGTACGCGCGCAAGTAACCGCGTACGTGTGTACTTTCAATCTGTCTGAGCTAGACGCAAGGATCGATAGCTTAGTTATATTACAGACAAGAACGCGTTTACTTTGTGAACGCTTAAATACGGAAATATAAAAAATTCTTACATGTTCCTATCTAAGTAGGCGTGTAGAAACATTAAATCGATCCCCGTTCGCAAGCCAGGACGTCCTCGAAATCTCATTGAATATTAAACGAGTGAGCTACGCTCACTCAAATCCGTGGGAACATCTAGATTGATTTCGCTCACAATCAAACGATTTCACTCCGTGTTCGCTAAAAAATCAATATCAAAAATGAATTCAATCATTATTGGAAATTAATTTAATGAAAAAAATCATAAAATTAATTTCGTAAAAAAAACTTTTCATTGTTTACTTTAAAAGTTTTCACATGAATTACGATGTTATTATTTGAAAAATATGTTAATTTATTAAAGGTTATTTCCGGATCTCTGTTGTTTTATTATGAGTCAGACTTTCGCAAAAGTGGATCATAAAACGAAATGATAAAAGTACTTCCGTTACACACTACAACTGTATATCGAATCTCGAGGGAAAATCTAATCTGAAATGTTGAAAATTTACGTTTAGAGATGCATATTTGATGTGTTCATTTTCTTTATTTATATTTATGTTGAAATATTTTTAGAATTTTATTTTAGTATTTCGTTTTTTGAAATACCTAAAGCATTCTTTAAGACACTGTGTTTTTTTTAAGATGTTATTTATATTGAAGAAATATCAATTTTTCAGACGATTCCACGGCTTTCTTAGGAAACAGCAACGGTATACGTGACGCGAATAAAGAAGATAGGGAAATAAAAGAGGAGTTTCAACATTCCCGCGCACGAACAGCATACCAGTCGTGAATGAAATGCACCATTGCCCCTTGGGAAATTATTTTATGCTGGTCATTTGCTCTATTCATTTTATCGACGACGTAAACGTAATTTCCTATCGTTAATGTCGGTACGCAAATGTCTGAGTCGTAATGGATAATTACTCATAGCTTCAGTTCCTGGAATTTTATACTCTTCGTGATTTTTTCAATTAATTCGTATTACTTTAAGCAACACGACGCAAAGTGACTGCACTTACGAGCAGCAATTTTAAATAGCACGTCTGTATCTTGGAACGCTACGTATCTTTAATTTGTGTCCTTAACATAAAATCAGCATAAAGTAAACTTTGCAACACCATTTGCATTTTATCTTTTTCGTACATCCTTTTGTGAAAGTGGTAAACTTCATATTCTAGGAATATTCAGCAAACATTTATTAAAGACATTTATTAAAGACACTTCAAAATTAACATAGCAATGTCTAATGAAAGTTCAAGAAATTTCTACAACATTTGAGAAACTTTGCTTATCTTGGTTGTCTGTTACTTATTGTTAGAACTCATGTAAGGTACTGTAACAAAAACATGACATATAATTATAAAGATATTACTTTAAAAATTATAAAATCACTTATATAAAAGTAGAAAATTTCAATATTAAATCACGCTATCACAATTTTGTTTCAATTATGATCGCGATATAAGTTTCGAGATGAAGGAAATAATAATAATAAAATAATTGGATAAAAAAGATATTAAATTATTAAATTTCTATTTTTATATCAATTTATTATTCTTATTATATGTGAGCGAAAATGAGATCTATTTTACATCGATTTCAAGGAGGATGTCCTACTTGCATCAACGGTTTAAGCACTTATCATTTTTGAATTTTTCGAATGTATTCCAGATAACGCTCTGTATACGATCATTAGTATTATCACTAATGGAAACGTATTAATGATTCTATCATTAATCGTTGAATTTAGACATGCAAAATAGTACAATATATTAAGATAGTGTAAAAACATTATATACAATTGTTTATCATATCATGAAAGAAATGATATTAGTAGACAACTTCAGTAATAAAAGTATATAATAATCAAATTTAAAAAATTCATATGTCTGAAAAATGTTCTAACACTATATCTATACTTCTAATTTAAAAAAACAAAAATATAAATTTTGAGCATCATTACTTTCGTGATTTTATTAAAGTTATTAGTGTGTCTTAACTGTGAATTCAACGTTAATAATAGATTCAACAAAAACGCTTTTTCGTCGCGATCTGACAACACGATTTTAGCATATATAACATGTTATATATACCTATCCATCTGGATTACGAGCCATAAAAACGCTGCTAGGTAATCTCCAATTGATTGAACCTGGCCGCCAGACTGTCATTCTCCGGAAATTCGCGTCTAAGTTTCACATTTCCGTATTTTCCTCGGCCTCTTCGTCGACCTTGGGTAACATATAGACAGCAGAAATCGGTGGGACATGATCCTCAAGCTTCAGGATCGGTTTGCAATCTCTGGTAACGTCTACCTGATTGAAGGTGTCTTTTAGGATGTTGATCTCATTCTCGTGCGCGAATATATTGGTGGGTGGTTCCGTGCCACATATATTGTTCTCGTCGGTGCCGTTCCTGTGGCACAGATTGCCCGACGGAAATTGTCACGAGGTCAGAGCAAACGGATCCGTCGACAGCTCGTCTACGGACGAGCTCGGCTTCACCGGTTCCGACTTGTCTGTTTGGTGACTCAGCCGATGGACAATCTCGTCGTGGAGGATGTTGAAGCACATCGCCGTCAGGGCCATTCCTGACATTATATAGCAGGAGCAAAACCAGACTGTCACGTTTCTCGAGTTGGCGAGGGTGTGGCGAGGATAAGAACCGGGCACCATGTCGACTACATATATCATGCTTACATATACTGCACTGTATATGTTACGTCGCAGAATTTATGCCAATCTGATACGGGTACAGAAAAACGATCATGTTAATTTTTTTGAAACGCTTTGAGGCTCATCAAATATACGTTTATATTGAAAACTACTGGAATTCACGTTGAAATGTAACGCAACAGTGAACACAATTTATGAAGTTTTTTTCGATAAGTTTTTTTGAACGGAACTTACCTATGAATGACCAACCATCCAATTTATGCAGAGTGAATGCTCCAGCAATGATGTAGCACAGCATCGCGCCAAGGCAGATACTGATTGGTGCGAGTATGGTAACATTCGGTCTGTCGCCGGAGCCAAGGCTCGAAACTTCGTCTTTCGGGCTGGCTTTAATTTCCACGGTGCTAGTGAACGTCGATGCATTCGCGCGAACGTAAAAGGGCTCCTGCAGCTGTAACTGTTGCTGCTGCTGCTGCGCCAGCTCCTCCTGCTGTCGCTTCTTTCTCATTCGTCGCTCTTTATCCTACATATGAGAAAATACCCGAAAATGGAAAATCCGTTCATATCCGCATGTCAACACACGTGAATGACCATTCTACATGTGTACCAATTACATTTGTGTTGCGTCGCAACACTTTCGAGTGAACGCCAACATCGTTTACACTCTTGTGTTTCGAGTGCCGGGGATTTCGAAGGCTGATCCAATTTTATTTGAATAGCGCTCTAACAATAACCAATCAATGGTACGGCAGCGATTAATCCTTATCGATCGTCAACAGGACACGCGTATCCTGCCGACATAGGAGATGCATGTGTCGAGTCGATACGACATATGCATTTCCCATCACGTATATTCAGTTTATCCAAAGGGAAAAAACTGATGTAAGCGATTAAATTTTTTATCGTCTAACGATGAAAAATTTTCAACGAAGCATGCCATCGCTAACCTGCATCCGCCTCTCGTCGTAACAACAATAGCCGCAATTCGAACAGAGGCAGCAACAGAGAGCTCGGGTGAAAACACCTCTGGCGCATCTCGACAAGAGACCTCCCGCACTAGACAGGTAGACCAAGGTCAAGGGTATCCCAAGACTGGCGTAACCCATTGTAGCAACTTTGCCCCAAGTAGATTTCGGCGCGATACTTCCGCAACCTGTGAACACAGAATAGAAAAGAAATTTAGGTTTATTAAGACGCTTGAAATCGATAAGATATTAATCGATACAGGAAGTACATCGTAATGGTCATTTGCAGCGGTATTTAATTCCTTTTATGAAGAGAGTCGTTCTAGCATACGATACCATAGCGATATTACAATGGAAAAAAACGGCGATAAACCCGCAGTAGTTAATTTCTCGCAATGTTAGCTTGCTGGATACTTAAAGGATAATATCTGCGGTGGTTTACTCACGCTAATTAACCGCTGCGGTAATAAGAACTTTGTGTAATGTGGGATCATGAGTAAATTGATTTGTGTAAATGTGTGCACAAGACGCGTGTGTTCACATACTTATGTATTATATAATACGTGTATGTGCGAATAAGCGCCTAAGGTGAGTTTATATATAATACGGAAAATATTCCCTTTTTAACGATTATATCTGCAGTTAGCGGATATAAAATTCTGAATAAAAAATAAAATTTATTATCGTTCCAGTGATTTTGCTCAGAAATAATTCTGTGTCACAAGTTTTCTTATTATAATTTATATCCCGAATCAAAATTGATTAAGTTTTACAAAATCTAGGTCAACGCAAAGCCCACGCTCAGAAAGTTGGAACATAAAGCGTTTGCAAAAATTCGTAGAATTTCTTCGGTATTGTAAAAGCTTAAGTTTCGGCAAACGTCGATCAATCGTAATCTCCAAAAGCGATTCTTGCAATCGAGCAGCGGAATTTATAGTACGGCAGAAGCGTCCAATCGGGTTGCTATCCAGGGATGAATAAAAATATCTACGGTAAAAAACCTAACTAGAGTTTTTCTTCAATTTCGCAAAACAATCAAAAGCGTTATTTGATCAAGATACGGAGCTTTAATAAATTTTGACCCGTATCGCTGCGATGCAGGAAGAGAGACAAGCTACATTAAAAAACTATTTTTCCTGTTGCTGATTTATAATGTAAAATTTATCTGATGACAGTTAATCATTATCTCGACAAGTTTGTAGGAGTAAACAGCGATATTTATACAATATATTGCCAGAGAGAAATGTCAATACACTGTTGACATCTAGCATTATCTCAGTTATTTTGTCATAAAATTTTTTTATGATACTACTAATTGAAAATTTCTCATGAAACAAATTATTAAAACGGATGATGCACCTTCTATCATAAAAAATATTGACTCTCATGAAAATATATACATATTATAGTTTAGTACATTTAGTATACCGCGTGTGTGTGCGATAATAAATATCCATTCATATCTTTTAGTAAAATGCGATTTTGCTAAAAGAGGTGTACCATTTCAAAGTTATAAGACTTCATATATTTCCCGAAGTATTTTTCTCATAAAATATCTTTTATTATATAAGAATAAAAAATGTCACTTGTATGTCAGTACATGTGCATGTATCACCAAAAGCTTTTGATAAAATATTAACGTTCGTATGTTCTAAGTTGTTTACATCGATTAATTTTGCTCATGACACGAAAGTTTTGCGAAAGCAGAACAGCAGCAGCAGCAGCAGCAGCGGCAGCAGCAGCTTTGAAACTCTACATTTTACATACAATCCTGATTATACACGATCCTTATTTTCCAAACAGAATAATACGTTAAGTATTGTGGAACTATTTTATCGCCGACAAACAGCGTCATTAATCTCCACAGGATAAATAGAAGCTCATTCTTCCGCGGAAATGCGAGAAAAACGATACCTTTCCAAAAACGCGTGAGCTTTTAGCTCTCTCGCGGAGCTGCCGTATTTGCGCATCGTTCAATCCCAATCCCGACAGGTCGACCTTACGGACGAGTGATGGAAGCAACATAGAAGTGCAATATGCAGTTGTGCGCGCGTTTCGCAAGTCAATCCAAAAAAATTACGTATACACGAGAATAAAAGGGACGGCAATAGAAAGAGAGTGGAAGAGAACCGTTACAGTGCGCGAAGGTCCGGCGGGACCTGAAAAAGCGCTCGGCCGAGATGCGGCGCGAATCGATTGCTCGATGCCGCTTAAGATAATGGATCACCTATCGGAATTGCCCCTGGTACGTATATGATAGTGGCAGGGGGGGGGGGCGAAACCGCGAACCATCCAGCGAAGGCCTATTCGTCATTGTCCTGCCACCTTATCGTTCACGATGGTGTGACCCTTTCGGTCGCACGTTATCTGTTGTCATTTGTTAGGGGACATAGTAGATTGTCAGCTTCGGTTTTATTGGCCAGTCGAGTAAAAATATACCGCGCTCAATCAGAGGAGAGCAGCAGTGAGCTTTGTCGCGCGTATAGCTACGGGAGTATCTCGTTTCAAACTGTATGTCTGTGTCTATAGAAAAGATATAAAATGACTTGGAACATGTAAATAAGACTATAAGGCGTCGCACTAAATGTTGTATTTATATGAGCGTTTGTTTGCGTTATCTTATATTATTTTTATGATTACAATAACTTCTATGATGATGATTATTAATTTGCACATACCAGCTAATCACTTATTGCGGTAATAAGGACTTTATGTAACGTTACAATTAAAAAATTGATTTACGCGAATGTTCATGTTCGTGTACACGTAAATATCTGAGAGAAATTTGCTCAAAGGATGATGTAAAAACTAGTTCTCTCTGGTCTTGAATCATTTTTATTATTTTTAATAAAAAAATTTTTAGTACGGCAGCTCTCACATAGAATCAAAGCACGAGAAAGAAATCGCTTCGAGATATTGAAAACAATCCGTGAGATAACGATGAAACCAACGAAATTTTGATGCACCAATGACAATGCTGCAAAGCGTGATTTTTTTTGATGAGCGAATTTTTCGAACAAAGCTGATCCAATGTTTTTGTATTTTTCCAGCATTCATATTTATTCTGTGTATATTTCCCCATATGAGATATTTATATTATTTTTCGTGTAATCGTACAGTGATTAATTTTTAATCTATTGAAAGGTCGGACTTTGAATCGATATATTTTTTTATATGTAACACAACATCAGAGTCGACGTGTGATTTGCTAATGAAAAATGCGGCTCCTAATCGTGTGTTGTTTAATAATTAAATACCACCTGTCGTGATGTATTGCGATCCAGTTTTTGAAAAGTTTATATCTTGTTACAACCAAATCGAATGACAATCCGAGGATTAAATTTTGCGATAGAAATTCAGTAGTAGAATAATCTCTTTGTAATATAAAAGTAATACAACATCTGGGTCGTTTAAAGATGGTATCAAGAATAATAAATCAAATAACCGTATCTCATCTCACTCGATGCAACAGCTCAGACCAACCAAATCGAAGGAACTAGTGGGAGGGGAATACCGACGTATGGAACAGTAAAATTTAATTATCAGTTAGCAATAACATGCGCCTGCTGAGTTACTCATTCTCAGCCGGCGGTCGCGTACACGCACCTACATAATTCTAACCAAGTCAATTCAATTGTTGTTCCATATAAAGGCACCGCCCTCGTTAAAACTTACCTCAGTCTTCGTGATGCGCTGCAAGCGCAGTGATTTTAAAATCTAACGAAATATTGTGTAATGTGAAACGTTTTACACGTACAAACACAACAATCGAATATTTTATACAATTCCATTTGGCCTGATTCGGCCATAATTTTTTGCAAAATGATAGTGAACAACCTATTAACTATTATTTTCATCGTCATAACTGGAACAGCATTCGTGCGATGTGCATTTGCGGCAGTAAGTTTATTATGTCGACACAGATTTTTAACATTTTAACAAAAATATTATGATACTAGAAACAATATAGTGATTATTTTTTAGATACATATATATTATAATTTTGATAATCTGTACAAATGACTAAAGCAGAGAAAATTGTTAAAATTTGTTAAATTTTAAAAACGAATTATGTATTATTGTATTATATTTTATTAGGTAAAATAATGTAATAATAATTTGACTTCTTTCATTTTTAGGGCAAACATCGTACAAAATTAAAAAAAGAAGTAAGTGAGAATATAAGTCTCTTTCAAAATAATATAATAATCTTAAAATGGGATAATAACAAAATTGTATACATGAGTTTTATTTGTTATAATATAATCATCTATTTCTGTTATATATCGTAATTTAGTATAACGATAAAAGATGTTTTTGATTGAAGGCAATTGGGCACAAACCAAGTAATGATGTTCTACTACGTTCTCTGTCGGACTTCGGCGTCGTACGAAGATCTTTGAATCCGATAACGTTCGGACAATATAGCTATGGCTATGAGTATCAACTAACAAGTGATGAAAATGTTTCAAATATCAAAAATAAGAAGAATGTAGTAATAGAGAATTTAAAACTATCAGTGACATTCCGTGATAACATACTCTACATCTTCTCGTACTTGCTTTACGGCTGTGAAAATAATTTGACGGAAGAACAACATACATCTTTGGAAACGCTTTATGAATTTCTCAAGAAGAAGATAGTTTATATGTACAATTTATTACCTATTTTACCTAAATTGGACATCACAGATAAGAATCAACAGACAACTACCGTATTGTCATCGCTGATAAAAAATCTACCATCTTATATTCAATGTACGGCTAAATACTTAGTCAATGAGATAGAAAAGAACAGAATTGATTTAAATACTTTACTAAAACCAACAGAATCTGAGACATTTGATTATCTCGCCAACATTGATTTAAACACGCTCGCAACAGGTAGAATTAAAAACGAAGAAATGATAGGATACGATGAAAATTCAAATATTACCCAGAAAGCTCTTGGTCCGGTGTTTGTAAAGCTTATTTATAATTTACAAACAAAAAATTTTTTGTCGCAAGAACTATTCAGTTTGATACTGATAAACTTACCAAACCTTAGCAAGGATCCCGTACTGGAAGAAAACGTTAGATATCTGTATGACTTAACAAGAAATAATATCATCAATCGTAACGATTGGGATTCAATCGGGAAAGATCCCGTTGGCAATGACGCTTATACACTTATCTTTTCTACCTTCACCAAGATTCTCAATTCAAACATACAAATGATCGTAAAGGATGCTACGTCTTACGTATACCATCACTTGAAGATTGTAACGGTTCCAACTTACCTTGATTCGAACTTAAAGTATATGCATCATCTGCTGGAAAAAGATATAGATATAGAAATGCTGCTTTCAGCCGTTATTTCTCAGGAGTTTGATGAAGATACGATTCGCATGAAAAACCGTCTACTAACGTATTTCATACGCAATTATAGAAACGAGGATATAACTAAAATTCTTAAGGGATTCAACAAATTTGCCTACAATGATCCGTCAGAGCTTCTCTTGGCAATCCTAACAAGATTTACAAAACGCGTTCCAAGCTCTCCAAATACTAATTCAATACAACAGCCGGCTTCAGCTCTGTTATCAGCTGTATTCATGAAAAAATATTCAAGAATTTTCACACCATTTGTGTCACCCGAAATTGATGTACTGATACTTTTGGAATCTGTGCAGGTCTCTGATGTGGATCAAGTACTTCAGTCAACAATAGATTCCATAAAACTTGAGTTAATTTCACAGCCAAAAATATCTGTGCTTCTGAGTACCTTAATACCAACGGAAAAAGAGAAATGTGAGGCACCAAGACAGTGTTTGGTAAATACATTCCTGCAAGTACCAAAATTACAAAATAATATACCTTTAACTTTAACAACAAAAATTCAAAACGTAGCGTATATTCTGATGAAAACAACTCCACAGCCTCTGCAACAAAAAGAAAGCTATACCACACAATATTCCATAAAACCAGTGGATGTAAATCTCTATCTAAATCGGGACCAAGACCGGGACAATTCAATAGCAGTGGCATTCAAGACAGATAGTATGTATACAAATAATGTGCCTTCAGGTGGTATCAACGGAGTTTCGTATGTATGGAACATAGATAAATATGTTGATAAAACTGGTCCCGCTGTACAAAATGAATTGCAAGTTGGAACTGTAGGATGGGAAACAGGAATTGCTACAGAAATCGACTCAACAGAATCAAAGATAGTATCGCCAACGATAGATCAAGTGCATAGCACAGAGACAAAAGTCACCGAATCGAAAGTCATCAAACCAAAAGTCACCCAACCAAAAGTCACCCAACCAAAAGTTACCCAACCAAAAGTCACCCAACCAAAAATCACCCAACCAAAAGTTACCCAACCAAAAGTCACCCAACCAAAAGTCGCCCAACCAAAAGTCGTCCAATCGAAACTCACCCAAACACACATCACTGAACATGTACCTATTCAAGAACGCACATCGGATCGACCATTAACTTTGAAACCTTCGTTAACGACATCAATATCTAATGTTCCTTCTTTAGGAACTTATTATCCGACGCAGAAACCACGAAAAATACTGCACTCGCGATACACAACACCTACACCGACAGAGCGTAGTGTTGAAGATAGTAATTCCAAAGTAGAGGAATATATTCCGCCCTCAAAAGTAAGTTTCGATGAAAAAGAAGCATCACCGAGTATAAGTAAGGAAAGTGAAGATGAAACTTCTCCATCGGAAGAAGTAACTAAAGAAGTCACAACAAAGACTAAATCTACTAAACCGTCAACGACAATTCAACATACTAAATCACAATTATTAGACAGCGTTGAAAAAAAAGTGCATTCCGAAAACGTCGTATCAAGTGCGATAGTATTACCTCCGTCTATAGAAACTGATCAGCCTCTTAGAGTACACCTATCTGATAGTGGTGTCCTAGTTGTAACGACAAGTGATGATCATAACACAACGGAACCTGAAGTTGTCTTACCAGATATCAAGGAACTTTTAAAATCGCCGGATATAAATAAGCTCATGCAAAATTCCGACTCACCAATAGTAACTCGAGTGTTAAAACCATTGAATATCATATTTGGTAAAAATTATATTAAGGAAATCTTGAAGAATGTGGATATAAAACTTTATCCCACAAATGTTGCATTATTGTTAACATTATTTAAAGAAGCCATAACTTATCCGGAAGTAACACAGAATTCACAATTGACGAGCATAATTAATCAATACATTGTCACTATAGATTATGTGAGTCCAACGACATTATTACCCGTCGTAGTTTCGTCGAAGGAATTGGTATCAGATGTCATATATTCTACGTTTAATCCGAATGACTTAACCCAAGGTAAAATTAGCGAAAATCCACCTGAATCATTATCAGACAGTGTCACTGTACCTCTCGTCAATCCTAAGATATTGTTGGAGTCTATAAATCCATCTAATCCTTACGTTGATCTATTACCTACTTTGGAACAAGGAAATATATTTGCGAAAACAATACAACCCCTCAAATTGATTTTTACATCTGAAAAAATTACGGAAATACTTGGACCAGATTTTCAACCATTGATGTTCCCAAATAAAATTACACTTCTGTTTACGCTCTTGCGTAGGCTACAGAAAAGTAAAACAATTCAAGCAAATCTGAAACTGAAATCCGCAATTGATTCTTATTTACAAGCTATCGAGCTACCATCGATAAGCATTCAAGTATCTGAAGATAGTTTCGTGAAGATGAAGTCCGAAACTACAGGTCAGTGGTTACCTGAACTGACAAGTTTGATTTCTGCTCTTCCAACAGCTGAGACCGATGACGAAACGACGATGATAGAAGAGATGGAGCAATACCTCGATGATCCAACTCTTTGGGAAAAATTAAACATAGCTAAACCACCAGTAACTATGTCTCGCGGAGAGCTATTGTATAAAGTTACTCAGAGTGCATTGTCCGGTACAATAAGTGTCGATAAAGGTGTTTTGAAAGCATTTAAATATTACGAAAACAAAATAGAATTCACCGATATGGGTGCTCTGCCCATCATGTGGATGTGGGTCGAAACGTACGTATTTAAGGCTGAAGTACAACTAGGCGACATGATCCAGGAGACGGTGAACTTCGATCAATTGTCATATAAGGAGAAATTAGCGTATAATGATATAATAACATACCTAGCTCAAAATCCTAATCTTCTTCAAGACAACGAGGACTTCGATTTTGAGAAGTATAAGACACAAGGGAAGTTTGTTAAGGGTTTATTCAAATATTTACTGACGAAACCAGAGATTAATAATAAGATTAAAAAGAACATTAAAATGATACTTCCACGTGTGACGGAGACTGGAGCAGGTGCAGTCGCAATGCCAAATTTATCTGGATTTTAAAAGATCGGCTATATTAATTAAAATCTAATTCATTAATTGAAGGACTCTAATTAAAGCAATTTGATCTGAGTTTAAAAGAAACAGAAAATGAATACACAGATACGTCTCACAAAACGAGTGTGTGTTTTATAATAAAGAATTAACTCGAGGTATTCTTTATAATAAACAATTTACTACATTAAATATTGGCTCATAGAGTTTTTAATATTGCATATTGTGCATGCAAAATCAATTATATAATTTAAGATTGCGAAAAATGACATATGTAACTGTCTGTTTGGCGCAATTTGTAAAAGAAAGAAAAAAATAGAAATAGAGAGAAATTCTGAGAACTTTATATCTATTTATTAAGTTAAATAAAAAGGCTTATAGTAATTTTGTATTAAATTATCACAGTTAGAGCCTCCTTTATTAGTAAAATTGACAAGGAGTTCTCCACAAATTTTAGACCAATAGTTTTCCAATAAATGGTGATCATTCGTAAATTCTCGTTACATGTCAACCTAGAACACTCGAAAGTTTATGCACTTTAGGACGACATTCAAAACATTTCTCCAAATCAAATCTCTACTTCCTTTCAATCCTTGCAATTACAGATATAAACACACATATATAGAAAATTAATTCTTTCCTAATTTCTTATTTACAGTTTTAATTTATGAATACAATAACTTATATTATAACTATAATTATATTTAATTAATTTATGTTGAAGTGCATGAATATACATAATGAATAGATAATCCGAATAATGCTTAATGGAATTCCAATCAACAATGTTCTAAGAATCTAAATCAATATTGTGTCTGTCGAAATTATTTGTGGCTGACACTTTAATATAGCGTAGATACTTGCAACAAGTAAAGTTCGCAGCAGTCGACAGTATGCGGCATCGCTACGTCTTCATAATGCATTCTAAGTAGCCATAACAGTTCGGCAAGTAAAATGAGTTGCGTAAGAGAAAGCGATTGGCGAAACTTCAACTCTATTCGCATTTGTTCGTTAATTGCTTTATCCGAGAACTTCGAACTGCCGTCTAGAAGCATACTGTAATAATAACGTAAGCGTCTTAAAGCATTGCGGTATAGTAAAAAATTAAATCTTTCATTTATATAAATAATTATAAGAGTTGTAGAATTAACTGATACCGCGCATATTATTGAATATCTGATTTCTTTTTCTACTGCCTTCAATCCTTAATTTGCAGTTTCAGAGTATTACGAACGTTATTATTTTTACAGTCTAATGAAATCTCTGCACACCGCATTATGCATTCAAAAATGAACGAAATAAAAGCGCATACAATTTTTAAAAAATAAATAGATACGCGGGTTGATGTAACGAGGTGGCTTCGTCGCAATAAAAATGGAACAGACACGTGACACGCGAAGCGGAACGAAACGAGAAACGGAAGCGACGGAGGGATTATTTATTTTGCACGGCGACCGCAATCCGCGGGGATATTTTCCGCGAGACGCCCGACCAAACTGTCTGGAAAACGAGGAAAAATTACATCGGTGAAAAATAATAAAGTGCGATCTAGCTTCAGTCGAAGGCTGTAAGCGGTATGTATGTACCTGTTCCAAGAGACAGCAATGGTGACAGAAACAATTGGTAATAGAAAATAGCGCCGATGCCGCGATGAACATAAGAAAAAAGATCAGTTGATATTATCATTCATGGATGATGATTAAATATTTATGTTATATAAATAATAAAAGAAGTTGTAAAATTAATTATTAGATATGATAAACAACGTTATAGAATATCTGATTTCTTTTTCTATTGCTTATTACGAACATTATTATTTTTATATTTATATAAATCGTTTAAATAACTATATATTTACGTATCTCAACTTTTCACATTTTATGTACATTACAAATTATTACGGGAAGTACGAACGTTCTACATAAGCATCATTGAAACTTATTGCTTTTCGTCACGTGGTACTTCGGTCACGTCAAAACTTTCGTCGGCGAAGACAACTTAAATTGAAGCGAATATCTCGGATATTGTTGTTCTTATCGCGCAAAAAGAACAGTAATTCCAAACTCGCAATTGAACTAGCTCGCCCGCATCAACGTCACGAATCCGAAAACTCTAGCCGTCGTAAACATTCTAAAACGGAGATATTTCGTCGAGCAATCCTGTTCACGCCAACTTATCGCGTAACACCGTTTCACCTGTTTAATTTAGCGCCTGAAATAATTTACATACGAGGGATGGGCTACGCTCGCGCAATAACATCTCGAAGATGAGCCGTGTGCTGCGCCGGGCGGATGCATCGTACGTGCAGACGTGTATTCCGGGGAGGGTTGCACACCCATCCTCTGACGGTACGTCTCCGTGCCCGACGACGTTCCTGCTAGAGGGTTCCCGGGATCCGACATAACCCCCGAGGTCGTAACGGTAAGTCTCTCGGCGTGAGGACCCGAAATTAATAACGCGACCCGGCGCAAATACGGCGCACATAATTAAAGCGATATTACGATCTGGTGCAGCCGCAGTATCGTCTACTGGCGCTGCCTGCGTCGAAGATGTTACTCAGCCGCTCTCCGAATTTGGGTGTTGAAAGCACAGGTATTACGTTCTGATTCGTAACTTGCCCGCGGCTCATCAAGAACATGATTAAGTGGTATGTATAAGACAATAGAAACCAGTGGATAGTTGGGTGTAATAAACCAGTGGACAGTTTATGCAAAAAAGAGAATTAAGATAGAATAAGACATATGATAAAAAAAATATCATTAAGATATCAGTGAAATAATTTATTAATTTGTTAAAGAAAATGAGGTATAATGTTTTAATCGGGCTTCTCTGGTAACAAAATGCAGTCATTTTCATAAAGGGAAGTTACAGGAAGTATCTCGAAACATATAGGACGTACGTGACAGTAATCGCAAAGACGACAGACTTGGTAAGAGTCTGCTAGAGTAAAGTAGGTCAGGATACGAACGGTACGTTTAGGGTGAATGAAACAAGACAAGAAGAAAAAAATAACTAAACGAAAGAAACAAGAGAAACGTTAAAGGATAGAAGTATTAAGATAGAAAGAGAAAGGAAGCAATGGCTCTCAAGTTTTATCTTTCGGAACCTTTTTTTACTAGCAGGAAGATTTCAAAGTTTTACGAAATGCAGGTGAAAGTTCATATATCTTTTGAAAGTCGTTTAAAGCAAACGAGATACATATTCCAGCTAAAATTACGAAAAAATTCCAACGTCACTTAATCTTTTCTTGTGTTTTTAATAAAACGCGAGAACACGTCATATATATATCTAAATAATTTAAGATGATCAACCGTATTATCTTCTTCGCGGATTAAATGTATTTCTTATTTAAAGACGCCGTTGCTCGCCATTGAGAGTCGCTGCGTTAAGAGACAAGGTGCAACCCTGATGTATGGGATACTCCTCCACGGGTGTTTCTACACGGCGGCACCGTCAGGGAAATGTTACCCTATAAAATATATCTCGAGCGTTGGCTTATGCCGCGCGAAACCCAGCAAGATGTTTCTATTTCATAGAAACGCTCGTCTTCCGGCTTAGCAGGGCATGTGAAGGGTAGCATGACGAAAGGCCAGGACGTTGATAGGGCTAGACTGTAAATCACACGGGAGCTATTCGATGTCTAGCTACGTTCCGCAATTTCGTCCAACGAGTTTGCTAGTACTACTCAACATTATCGCACAGATTTTGTCGAGGGCTGAACGGGCTGTTTCAGGCGACAGAAAGTTTAAACGAAATGCGTAATGTATCTTCTTCTTTTTCTTTCTCTGCTGCAACTGATATGTTTGAAGTAGCTTTAAAAACAGTAGATATGTTAAGTACGTATAAGTTTTGGAAATATTCTGGAATTAGTGAATAAATAATATTTAAATATAATATAATATAATAAAAGTGAAATAATACACGTGTAAGTATAAAAATATGAAATATATTTAAATCGATTTAAATATTGCATTTAACTGTGTGTATCATAATGTTATGTCAATAGTTTCGTGAAGTCACTGCAAGAAGAAGCAAGTTATATCTACTATATGTTATAGAAGCATAAGCCGACTGGTTGCATAGGGACAACGAGGTAAGGAAATAAGGACGCGATAGAGACGGATCATAAATCACACACCAACCATTCAATGTGGCGTGCCTATATTGTGTGCTACCTCCGAGAGATATCGTTATCATATAGTGACTCTGATAGCAAGAGAGAGTTGCAGTGTTTTATGAATAAATTCACTGAAATAAACAACCGACTTTTATGTAATTAAATTATTTTTATATTTATCGTGTCAAAGAAATGGCGATGCGTATAATTCCATTTATTCAATTCTTTTTATTATCCATACAAAGATATACAACCGCGTAACAAAGTTATGAGTATAAATATGACACGAATAACAAACACCGTTCGATATGAGTGTAGTAAACTTTGACATATTGAACTCTCTCTCAGAACAGTCATGTGCATCTGTAAAATCTAAACAACGTTGTTATTTGTCCCTTCCCTTCTTCATAAGAAGCTTATTTCTCCGCTAGTCCATCATCCCCTCACGATAACATTTCCTCTTAGCTTTAACGCCTCGCAGTATGAAACGACGTAGAACGCCGGCGAAGATCCCGTAAAGTGCACGAAAATTCCACGGAATCCTGGAAAAATTTATGGTCCGGATGTTTACCAACATAGAATTCTCTCAGGTACTCCCGGACAGTATGGGATAGTATAGAACCACCTCCTTTTGCCCTCGCTACTCAGGGGGTGGCTATTAGTAGTAATTACTGAAGCAATAAGTCTCTGCCTAATACTTCTCTCTTCCGACCTTTCATCTTTGCTCCTAGAGACGCTATTGTTGCTCCACTTTTGTCGCTTTTCCAGAGTGTATGAACTATCCTTCTTTATCTCCGTATAAACTTTCTCTTATCCTCACTTCGAATTATTTAACATATATACAAATATGTACAGGGTGTTTCCAAATTAAATGGCAAAACTTCGGGAGCGTGTAGAGGAGTAAAAAACTAAGAAAAAAAGTCCTATAGACATATGCTCCTTTTTGCTTTGTTTCGCAGGAAATCACGAAAAAAGAAAAAAATATATTTAATTTATTATTTTAATTATTTTATTTATAAACTTTTTAATGAAGATTTTGTTCGAAATGTGCACCTCTTGCAGCAATACAAGCATTGCATCTGTCAAACACGGCTCTTGTAGCAGCCAGGCACT